CCGCAGCGTGTGTTAATGTGTGCGCGGTGTTTATTATATTCGCAGCAGCATCCTTGAGATATCAGCGAGAGTGAAACAATTATTCTCATTGTTGGTCTCCGTGTCGAGCGGTTTTGTACTTGCGGGCATTGTTTTCGGCAGAGGTGAGCAAAATTAATGGAGCTGCCAGGGATCAGGGTCCGAACCTTTAATGAAGGTCCTGCTCCTGTCATTACGAAACTTACAAAACCGGCACGTCCTGATTGCGCAGAGAAATAATTCACTCTCGCCCTTGTTTGCACTGACTGGGTGTTTTATCACCTGGCTTTCGGTCACGCCAGATTGCTTTAATTTAAATACACAATGTAAAAATTGAAATTCTTTGTTGTAAATTAATTATATAATAGAAAATTTCATACAAAATTAGAATGATATGTAAACAATGGAAACAAAAAATTAATTTAAAATAATAGTTCTTGTCAAAATGATCTAAAAGTTTTTTTTAAGTGGCGAATTTTGAGATTTCTAGTAATACTGCCATAATGCGTAAAATTGAATAAATTTATTTCAATAGTCCCTATTTAAAATAAATTGAGCTTCGATCTTAACAATCAGAAAAACATAAAGAAGGAAAATTTAATATTTTCAATAAAAAAAACCTTTATAAATTTCATTCAAGGCCAAAATAAGTTTCAAATCATTTTAAATATTGTTTTGAATCTGAAGCAATGTTGAAAGAAAACTAAAAACGTTTTTTCATTAATAAATTTTATTGAAAAAATAAATAAAAAAGATGGATGTATTTCTTTTTTCTTGATTTAAAGTCTGCTTAGCTAAATAATTACAATTGTTTTGGGGAATTAAGTTAATTGGTTGCAGTTTAATCAAAATTAGGACTTTGTTGAAGCAAAAGTTCGTTACCCCTCAAGACCATAAATATAAATAAACAAGAAAAATATCGGGCACGAGCACTGGCAGCAGCGGCGAGTGCGGTGCGGATAAATCATTGGAATCGCCTTGAAAACAGCTCGCCATTGGCCAAGTCTTCTTGTATAATTCGCTACTTGGCGCGAGTTGCACCACCGTGTGCGATTGTGCTTCACTTATTGGGCAAATAAACGCTTTCTTTATTATTATTCACCCGCGTGTATAATAAAATGTGTGCATTTTTGTCGTGCACGCGTCGTGCATGCACAAGAAAATATCGTCGTGACTTATTTCATTTGCATTCACGTCGATCGCTGCTCACTTTCGTCCTATAACTCACCATCTCGCGCAATAAATGTGTCACATTGTATCACCGCGTGGCGAGGACAGTATATTGCACTCTGCTAATTACACACAGTTTGTACATTCATGCATGGGTACTCGATCGAGAGATGGGGAGACGGAGATAAAATTTTATTATTCCTTTTTTTTCGCTCGAGGTTATTAAATTGATTGCTTTTTGCAATACAAGAGCGGCATACACGATGGACGATGGACGGTATTTGTGGTTTAGCAAGCTGCCCTTTTAAGAGCAAAATGAGAAGAAAGCGGTTTGGAAGTTTGAACGCGGTTATGCTTTTAAAGGTTCATATATACGGTTTATGTGTTTTGAAAGTTCGGATCGCACATAAATTTCAGTCTCGTTGAATTCATCCAATTATGCGAATCAATGAGAAGCAAAAGCAGAATTTATAAGATGAAGGAATAAAATTATTTTGATAAATTTTTTTACTTAAAATTCATTAAATATTTAATTCAAGCCATTTTATATTTTCATTTAAAGTAGTTTCAATATTTTAATATTTTAATGAATTTTTATTATTTATTTGAAGTGTTTTTATGAAAAATATTTTCATTAATTTTTATCCTTCCAAGGCTTTTATTATTATTATTTTTAAATATTTAAATTATGACTTTTATAAATTGTTTTCGTTTTCAGTTATCATATAATAGAGCAAATTTAATTAGAAATTTTACTGTTTTTAAAAATAACGAGCCATTAGAAGATGTGGTATGTTCAATTTTAAATTAATGCTGTAATTAATGTTAGAACAAAAATGGATTCCATTTAACCTCTTTTACGTATATTTGTCAATTACATACTCTGTAAAAGAATTTAATTTGTTTTAGTAAGAATTAATTTAAATTTGTCTTATTCTACCAGTTTAAGAATTCATGTTGGTTATTTTAAGAAAGAGAAAATGTAAAATTGCAACGTTTTAAAACGTTTAATTGACACCTTCAATTTCTAATAATAAGATGTGAAAACTGCAATCTCACGCTGAAAAGAAACTATACAGCATTTTCCAGCTGCAAGGGACATTCAGCCACTTTTAATACATGCAAGTGTATATAATTTTCTTTTTCTTACGCGCGGATATTATTATTGCAATATAATTAAGCGATTACAAACAAGCTGAGGACAATCAGCACGACGTGAGTAATTATTGACTGCTTGGTACACACGTGCGTTTACATCTCGAGGAAGTTAGAATCATATTGGAGGAAAACTGGAATATGATTGATCATTCATCACATTATTTCCGCGCACTTGTATATATTTGTATTAATTAATCAAATAAGATGTACATATTTAAAACTTTTAATGATCAATCAACTAAATTGTAGAGAATGTTAACCATCGGAAATTATGCAACCGGCTTGACTCAATCAATTATTAGTAATATTGAAGGACGCAGGAATAAATCATAAATCGTTTAGCAAATTTTCTGCTTCAGTAGTAGAAATCTTAGCAAATAATCAGTTTCGACCTTGGAAATAATAATATCAGTCTGTATATTCATTTAATTGAAATAAGATTTTAATCGAGGAACTGTCGTGGAATCATAAGCCTACTTATTCAGTACCGTATTAAAGACATCCTTTTTCATAAAAAATGATGTACTTTTTCATAAAAAATTCAAACTTTTTCATTAAAAAAGATGTCCTTTTTCATAAAAAAATTAAACCTATTTCATCAAAAAAGACATATTTTTCATCAAAAAAGACATCTTTTTCATCAAAAAAGACATCCTTTTTAAAAAAAAGTCATACTTTTTCATAAAAAAATATGTCCTAATATTTTATCAAAAAAGACATCCTTTTTCATAAAAAAAGACATTCTTTTTCATAAAAAAAAGTCATACTTTTTCATTAAAAAAGATGTCCTTTTTCATAGAAAAAAATATGTCCTATTTCATCAAAAAAGACATCTTTTTCATCAAAAAAGTCATACTTTTTCATTAAAAAAGACGTCTTTTTAATTATAAAAAAATCATTCTTTTTTTCTTTTAAAAAAGATGTCCTTTTTCATCAAAAAAGACATCTTTTTTTTATCAAAAATGACGTCCTTTTTTATAAAAAAAAGTTATACTTTTTCATTAAAAAAGATGTCCTTTTTCATAAAAAAAATATGTCCTATTTCATAAAAAAAGACATCTTTTTCTACAAAAATGAAGTCCTTTTGGCACTGCTTTCGCATTTGATTATTTATCTTCATCAGGGAATCTGAGCAAGATTTAGTTAAATTTTGCTCATGAGCAGCGTTCAGCAAGTGTATTAAGCATTACCTTTGAACATAATGCATCCTGCAAGTGCATGCTCATGAGCAAATGCGATTAAGCACCCTCCGAGGTGAGCATGCTCATGAGCACACAAAGTTGAGCACCAGAAACGTGATCATGTTTATGAGCAATACTAGTTGAGCAGATGATAATTGATAATCCTCATGCTCCGTAACCCTGATAAATATGCGTAATGTACTCATTTTATTATTTGCTGATTTCAGGTACCGCTCTCCATCTCTAGGAAAACCGCTACGGCTTCCAAGGTAGGCTCATCTTAAAAGTTTCTCTTTCGTTTAGTAAAAATAAGTCGAATTGAAAAAGATTTGATCATATCTTTACTTACGAAGCTTAGGCAAATATAATTTGAAACAGAATTTAATTTAGAAAATTATTGAGAAATATGAAGACCCTTGACAAGCTTGCGGGCTATAAAGTTTCTAATATTATGGGGGGGAAATGGATTTACATAATGAAAAACTACATATCTATTTTTTTTTAATCATTTAAATCAAATGTGTTCACTTCTTTAAAGGAGTAAATTATTTTTGATTCTAAACGTGCAATTTCAGATACAGTAAAGGAAAACAAATCTCATGTTATTTTTATTTCTCATAGGTTTATAAAATATTTTAGGATTTTCTTCGATTCCAAGTGAGAAATAGACGAAAATTTTACCAAATGAACGGTGCAATTTTACTCTCGTTTAATTATTGAATTATTTATAAGTTTTTTTTCATTTTTCAATAATTTATTCACCAATAAGCTAATAATTACATAAGGTGCTGACGGATTTTTCCCACCTTCCATTTGAAAACAGATTAGATGTATGTATATAAATCGAATGAATCAATTAATTTAGAACACTTCCATAGTTTCGGAAATCTTAAAAAAAGCACAATTTTTTTTGGCAATTTTCGTCCCAAACCAATATTAAATGTTATCAAAACCAAGAATCAAACAATATGAAAGCAGCAGATAGAAATTCTTAATTAAAAACTTCGATCTTCATCTTTTTGCGTTCCGAAAAACATGACAGCCGTCGGCCCTTGAAATTCCCCGGGAGGTCCGTTTTGAAAAAAAAGGCACAGCCGGACGTACGCGGAAAAGCGCACGTCCTTGTTTTGGCGAAAAGCAGGATACGAGGAGAGCACGCGCCTCCCCCGCGCACCTCCTTCAGCGAGAGAAGAGAAGAGACGTAGTAGAGGATTTTTTTTATTATCATTTTCGATTCGCTCGGCGGGGAAAATATAAAACACGAAAAATAAGGAGCAGGCGCGCGAGAGAGTGAAACTGGTCTGCGGCTTTTTATCCGCACGCGAAGTCAGTCGGTCGGTCGGTCCGTCCACTCACTTATTAAAGTAGCTTTTACAATAAATCTAAAGGTGGGTGGGGCAGGGGAGGCGGCGGAGGGGAGGGGGTCGGGAGGACCGCGCGCAGGTAATCTGCAGCCGAGCAGTCGCTTCTTGTGGTGCAAACGAGCTGGGCATCTTTGCAGACGGTGTCGCTCGCCGCCGCCGGTTCTCATGTGCTGACCTGACCGTCGGCCGCCCCCTGGATGCGGTGCGTGACCGCCCTTAATAGTGCACCCCCGCGCCCCAATAATTGATAATCGACCGACGAGTTTGTGCTTTTGTGCTGGATTACCTGTGACACGCGTAGGCTGATTTTACACTTCTAGCCGGCGAGATGACGTCCGAGATCGCTTTCTTTCAAGATGTGAGTATTGCCGAAAAACCAAAGCAACAATTTGTTTTTAAATTGCGTTTAGTTTAGAAAAATAAATGGGCCTTTTAAATCGAAATTTACGCCGAATAGAAAAAAAAACGCGAAGATTGATGAAAGTAATTTATTAAATTTCTGCTGCTGCTGCTGCTGCAAGATTAAATTTATTTGATATATTGCGTTTGTTTATATAACAATTTAATTAGATTGTAAGCCTTTTTTTCAGGTTTTACTTTTTAAACCGAATGAAAAGAAAATACAGTAAAATTTAGAATTATAAAAATCTATGTTTTTATTTTCTTTGATTCAATACTTATGAATTATGAAAGTACCATTTACGGTATTTTAAATTTTAATTTAAAAAAAATTCACAATAAATTACACAAATTTGGCTGACCGCCAACCCCAAAATTTAATTTCAAATAACCGATAAGGAGATAATTGATGAAATTATTTGCATAATCAGATTGCAAAACGCATTTCAGTTTTTTTTTTAAAGAATAATAAATTCAAACCCCGTTTTTAAGAAAATTTTATCTTCTGAATCTGCTATTTTCAATTGGAAATATAATAATTATTTCTATTCCCATTCTATTATGGAAAAATTCTGACTTTTTATACTATATATTTATTTACGCTTTCGAGTTTCGACATGTAATATATTGAATTTAATTCCGTTATTTTATTCAAAGATTTCAATGATACTTTCTCAAGATCTGCTTATTTATATTGCTGAATCTGAATGAGTGCAATCTGAAGATTGAATTAAAATTAATTATTTTTTAAAGGAAAAAAACATTAATAGTTGACAATTCCCGATTTTGGAAATTTTATTTCTTAAAACTCGTTTTCTTCAATAAAAATTTTCAGTAATTAATAAAATAAATATGAAATAAATCACAAAAAACTTTAAAATAAGCCAAAACAGTAAAATAAAATTTTTAATATCATTCTATTTTATTTAAATACATACATTTTTTTTATTGTTATTTATAACATAACGGCGCTTAGAAGAAATTCCTTGGTTTCCAATCACTGCTTTAGAAGCTCAATAATTTATAACAATTTTTGAACTCGCTTAACAAAGTGCATGTTAAAGGGGATTAAACAAACCAGTTTGGAGAGACAGCAGCTGCCGTCGACGTGCATTCTCTCTCGCGCAGTCAAGTGACCGACTAACTAGTCACTTTGTCTTTTTCCCTCGGTGCCAAGAAACAAATAATACGCAGAGAGACGAGAAAGGAATTTCCCGTTTGTTAACAAACACAATATATATATTCTGGCAAAAAATAGGAATTTTTCACGTATAATTACTTTTTGGAGCCAAATGGTGCGTGTCGGATTGCCAAAAAAGTTCCGAAAGTCCCTGAAGAAGCAAAAATATACACAACTTTTTACGACCAACTGGCGAGTAATTAGGCTACGCTAATGATTTGATTGCTGTGCCAACCTTCTCGCTTCTCTCTGTCCGCGGAGAGCGGCATTCAATTATTAAAACTTGTCATAATTGCCGATCAAATTAATCTTTCGCAATGAAAAACGCGCGACTGGACGCCCGTCGGTATCGCTGGAATAAAACACAATCGATAAGTCGAAGGAGAGACGCATATTATTTTATTTGTGTTGCTTGGAAAAAAGAGCCTCTCTCTCTTGGTCGGATTCCGAGAACACAATCAGGCGTTCAAGTCTCTCTCGCAGCTCCCTGCCATTTTCGTAGGTCATTATTTAAGAGCCCGATTATTTATATCTCCGTCGCTTTTCTCCATCATCGGTTTTAATAACCATTAATTCTCAAGACCGCGGCACTCTTTCTAAAGGCGGAAAATGACACTTGCGTTAATTAAAGTGCTGGCTACCGACGATCCAGTTGCTTATTTGCCCTCGAATAAATAGCCCGCAATTTATTTTGAAATTTAACGAGGTTTATTATACACAGGATAATTCAATAAAATATTGAAAAACTTTGTCACACAATTTAGTAAATTTTCATAATTTAAAAAACAGTGTTTCAAAGTTAAATTCATTCTTTTTCATTTGGTTCAATTTGCAGATTTCTAATTGCATAATATCAAATAATAAGTTTACTATAAAAACAAATTGCATTTGGCCTATTTTGAATTTATATATTAATATCGGAATGAAATTTAAATTAAAAAAAAACCCAAGTATTTCTAATTTTTTGTACATAAAAATTAATAATGAATGTCCAAATCATGGAAATGGACCATAAAAATCAAAAGCTTTATTTTAATCAATAAATCAACACATAATTGAGATTGCGATCAGATAAAAGAAGACCTGCAAAAAAAAAACTAGTATATTAAAATTCCTCGCCAGCGAAGATTCATTGCCGGCTCTCTCGCCAGCTTCCAGTCTTCGCAATAGCTGCAATTAATAATTTTTCGAGCAAAAGGCCACGACTTGCGCAAACGAGCTCGTAAATAATCGCACACAAGCGACACTCGCAAAACGAGACTCGCAATTTATAGGACGAGAAACGCATCTGACCTGCAAAACTAATTAACATTCTAATTGTCTCTCTGCAGAAGTTACAAAAAAAAGTACAAAATTTATTACTTGTTCCACACTAATTTTAAAAAAGGCTGTGAGAATACTTTTTTGCTATTGTGTAATAAAAAAAGCAATTGCGCCTCCTTCGATGAATTTATATGCAAAAAAATGGAACTTGTATAATTAAATGTGACAGCGGCGCCACCACAAGAGAAAAAATACCTCCAAAAATTTTACTTTTTTATCGACTCGTCGTGGTTGTTCTGGTAATGAATATTTACGACTTAATTTACAAACAATTTTTCAGTTTTTTTGACAGTGGCGACGGGTTTTGCGCAGTAAAATCACTTTGCTCGCGGCTCAAATTTGTTTTCAAGGATGAAAAAGTTGCAATTTAAGAAGAGTTGTTTTTATCAATATCACTTGAGATTAAATTGAGGATTAGAAAGTGGAATCAGAGAGACTCGACTCTCTTCGTATTTACAAAAATGTGATCTTTTGAAGATGTTTTGAGTACCAGTTTTTAATTTAGAAAAATTCTCCAGTAGTTTATAAATATAATTAGGTGTGTACACAAATTGACCATTGAAAAACAATTATTTTTAGAATGGGAATTTTTTTGTAGAGATGAAAATAAAATGAAAGCTAATTTGAATATTATTATGTTCTATAATTATAGATAAGAACTAGGTAGAAAATATTTATATGCCCATGACTTTTAACTTAACCGCAACAAATAAAATTAATTTAAATTTTAAAATTATAAATAAAATGTATAGAATTTTCCAAGTTTTTATATTTTTTACAAGTCATTTGCTAGAGTTTACTGGAATATAAAGAAAATAAATAATATTGTCAATTATTTTATGTGTTGGAATGAATAATAATATCTCGTAACGCATATAAAAGAGCAATAAATATGAACAATTTGAATCGTATTGAACAAACGAGAGCGCATAAATCTCAATCATCTCTGTGCGCCGATTCCAAATGTGTCATATAACGCGGCAGACAAGACGCGATAATTGCGGCGACCTCACGTCATTTCCACATTGGCAGCGAAGGTGAGACAGAGTGCAATAATAAAATGACAATCACTCTGCGCACACAATAAATATATCGTATGTACTCCAATTAAAAGAGATAGAGAGAGAAAGAGGAGAGAGATCGGTTTCCGCACTTCCTACACATTTTTCTCGGCGCAGCTGTGCCTCAGCACCAAAGGCCAGCAGGAAAAGAATTTCAAGCGGCAATAGGGAAACGCTGAATTAACTCTCGGTTCAAATCGGCCAACACGCACCATTACAAATATTTACAAGGCAGTTTAAATTATATTTAAGAGCAGATGAGGCGTCGTAAAAGTCGCTCTTTCTTGTAAGACTTTTGAGCCCGCCAGCGATTTTTTTTACAATTTATTGGTTAAATTGCGAGTGTTTTCAATTTTAAGTAAAATGAAAATTATAACTTAAAGTGATAATCTGATAATGTTGTTCGAAAATTTTACCCAGCCATCGAGAGATTCACAATTAAATTTCCTTTTTTTTGTAAAATTTAAACCTTTTTTAAATTGATATTAAAAAAAAAAAGGAAAATTAAATGGTCCTTTTTTGACTAAAACATAGCAACAAAGATTAAGATTTTCTTATCGTGAAATCCACAAAGTGTTAACTTGCGATATTTTTTTATTTTTTAACCCTTTCGTCATCACGCTGCACGTGAGTGCTGAACAGATGTCAGCGAACGTCAAAACAGGCGATAGAAAAATAATTAATAATTTGCACCGCGCGCTCGGATTAATTATACACGCGGTGCACACACCGTTGTCATTTAAGAAGACTGACATTCCGTTTCGAAATAATTCTATTTATGCACAAGATTTTCTTCTTTGACGGCCGCGAGCGCGTTTATTTTATGCAGATTTTAATAATTTATGCGAGAAATTCGCCAGGGGTACGAATACCAACCTTCTAATTAGTGAGACTTAATTAATGCTCACGTGGAGGTAAACAAGGTATTTAATTGAATTTGAAAACGCAGCTCGTGCAAGGGAAAAGTGAATTCTGTTTTACTTCAAATTCGTAATTAAAAATCATGTTTAATTATGCTGTAGTAATTCAAGGAACTGAGTGATTTGGAGGGACATTTATTTAGACTGGTTAAAAAAAATGCGACTTTTAAGCTAGAATTGAAGCTGAAATGTTCTAAAAAGACTTTTAACCAAAAATATAAAAAAGCACAATAATTTAATTACATATTAAGATAAGTATTGTTTTCTCAATTCCAAAATACGACATTTATTTTCATCAAAGATAAGTAAAAAATATTAACTGGAATTATGTATTTATTTAATAATTTTCCATTCCATACTTTTAAAAATTTTACTGGGTCTAAAGAGAATAATCTGGACTAAATCAATATTTTTTATGTAGGGGCTTAAATAATTTAACATTTAAAAGCTTTCCAAAATATCAAGACTTGTGAAT